ACACCCTTGCACCGTTGACGGGTTAGTTTCAGGATCTGTGCCGCATTCTCAGATATTAAGGAGGTTTGGGAACCCTGGTCTATGAGAGCCCTGAGGGTGACGAAGGTGCCATCCAGTTTTTGAACCTTAACCATTGCTGTTGCTAAGAGAGTTTCTGTGATTTCGGTTTGTGATACATGAGTGGCACTTTTTCGTTCCGTGCTAATTTGCTTTACAAACGCTTCATGTATGAGTGTGTTATGTCGACCTTCGCATTCGCGGCATCTTTTGTCGGATATGCAACTTTTTCCGTGGTGATTGTATAAACAATTTGTGCAATAATTTAATTTCGCAATTAAGTTTCGTCTTTCTGTAGGTTGTAATTTGAGAAAATTGCTGCAATGAAAAATGCCGTGGTCGTCTTTGCATAGAGGACATCCTGTTGACGCAATTTTCTTTTGAATATGATGAAATTGACCTTGATTGTTGCTAAATTGATTTTGATTAGTACTAAAAGATTTGAAAAAAGTAGATTTTTTGGCATCTCGGATGCAGTTGTTTTTGCTGCTGCATCTTGTTTGCGACGTGAAGATTCCAATGACGTAAACTTATTTTCTAGGAATTTTAAATTCACTTAGTTTTGGTAAGTCCCTAGGATTTTGTAATGACTCTATGTAATCCTTATGGGTTTCTGAATCCAATTTCTGCGTCATGATATGCACTATCAAAGGATCCCATGAACTTATCTCTATACCTAAATTTTTTATAGAATTTAGGCTTTCATTGATAGTGTCGTGTATTTTTTTGATGTAAACTGCCGACTGCTGCTGAAAGACAGGTAGATTTAATAGTAGGTTGATATGTGCTCCAAAAATTAACTTTTTGTTCTCATAACGGTGTGTTAGAATATCCCAGCAGACCTGATAATTTTCTGAACTGATATGAAGATGTTGTATGATTTTCTCGGCTTCACCTCTAACTTTCCCTTTTAGATATTGCATTTTTTGTGCGTTTGAAAGTGATCTGTTGTTATGGATGGCTTCACAAAACAAGTCTTTGAATGATACCCACTGATGATAATTGCCCGTGAAGATTGGTATGTCCATTTGGGGGGTTAATCTCTCACGGTGACATGTAGACCAAATTTTTTGATTTATTTCTTTCTTAATATTCTGATATTGCTGCTCGTAGCTACTATACTCCTGTTCGTATTCTTGGTTTTCTTCATAGAGCTCACTATCGATTTCCCAGTGGAGGTCGTCGATAGCGGCCCATCTTTGATTTACAGATTTTAAAACATCGTCTAACTCCCATTTTTCTTGTAATGACGAAAAGTTTATGTTGGTGATGGTACGCACGAAAGCTTTAAAATTGCTATATTGTTTTTTCAACATCTCTGTTAATCTCCTTTGATTACCACCGGAAGTAAATTGAGGATGTGGTTTACCTGTTACTGACGTGGAAGGAAATTCGAATTTTGGTGTAGGGATAGTCTTTCCCATTTGATTATCTGGACGTGGTGATTGTTGTCCTGTAGGCTGCTCCAACACTCTTGCTGTCATTGATGGCGTGGCTGGACGTATCAAAGGTCTCTCGTCCTTCTTGGCCTCCGTCGAAAGATAATTATTGATATAAGTACGCGTATCTTTGTAAAAATCTAATGTTTTTTGATAATAGTTTTCTGTAAAATAAGCATGAGACCGATCTTCGTTTTCGCAGAGCTTGATATGGTTCATTTGATACTCTTGCCAGTAAGCATCGAGAGTATCAAGCTTCTTTTTGATGTTCGACTTCGTCTTTCTTTCCGCTCCATCCTTCTTAAAATTGGTGAGCAGCTGGTTAATTGCTCCCACTATTTGAGTTTGAGTCGCTAGAAGGTTTTCCATTTTGCTTGATAAAGTTGATAATTAATGTAAAAAAGGAAAGATCTTACTTGAGAGCTGGCTGTATGTAACTCGTAGTAAACCTGGTGGTGTGCTGTATGATGTAGCTCCTGGGCCTGTATATAGATTACAGGCGAGTTCCTTCTTGAAATCACTGTATTCCAATTTGCTGTGCAAAACCACTTACACGAACACCGTTAGGTAAATTGTCACACTTTTAGTCTACGCGTAAATGATCTCACTTGTTCATATATTCGAAGGACCATTTAGATGTACGGTACACCTAGAGTTGATATGATAAGTAAAAAATGATATAAGAATTTAAACTATTTATTACTATATAAAAACTGATACTATGCTATGATACTCGTAAATGATTGATAGATGAGTGCGCGCCCGCCGCGATCTGTAAGGAAACGTGAACTGTTGCAATTTTGTAATTATTAACACAATTATGAAAAGTGATGACTTCGCAAGATGTACGCTTGAACCGTACAATCCTAAAGATCCATTTAACATCTATTATTTTCTTATTTTCTGGTCTCTCAACTAAAATCCACGTTTCGTTCTTTTCCAAACTGTTCAATTCCTCTTTCATTGCACCTTTTTTCTATTTATTTACATCCGGACTTTTTATTGCTTCATCATAATTACGTATCTGGTACCAGTGCATCACTAAAATTTATATATACAACATGATCTCTATATTTCCCTGGCATTTTTCTTTCTCTTTTTGGTCGGATATCCGTCACCTCCTCAGTCACAGCTCTACTTGATTTTTCCCTTGAGTCATCAACACTATCATAAAATTCTTCGTTTTCATCAGTTTCATCATCAGTATTTACTATCTTTATTATCTGTTCTTCTTTCGTACCTATAAATGTAACGTGACTATTTTTTCATTTATTAATACTCTGTATCCCGTATCTATGTATCCTACTAATATACCTTTTGTAGCCTTTGGGTTAAGTTTTGATGTGCGTAATTCGTCTGGAATTCGTACGTAACACTGTGATCCGAAAATTTTTAAATTACTTACTTCTTTTATTAGGCTTCCTCCCCATAAAAATTTCGTACGGTGTTTTTTTCTCATACGTGTTTGTTAAAATTCTATTTCCTAGATATGCTGCAGTCATTACGCATTCAGGCCAATATTTCTTATTTATCTTTGCTTCTGTAAGCAGACATCTCGCTCTCTCCATTATGGTTCGGTTAAATCTTTCAGCTACACCGTTCAACTCGTGTGTATAAGCTGGCCCTGGTTTTAAATAAATACCTTTTTGCTTTGTGTAAGTGTAGAAATCGTTGTTAATATATTCTCCGCCATTGTCACATCTGATTTCTTTCACTCTCTTACCTGTTTGATTTTCCACCATATTTAGCCTAAAGTGATAGGTAATCCATCTACAACCCTATGCCTGCACATTTCATTCAGTTTCTTAAAGTTAGGATGCCTAAGTATTCTATGCCATTTTTCTTTTTCTGACATAATGTTACCACTTGTGTATGCTACTGTACCTGCACCTAAATTAACTCTACCATCTAATTCGTACAATTTATTTTTCTTGCGTGCGACGGCCATTAAACCTATCTCTACATTATATATATTTGCTATTTCTCCTCTAAATTGAATTGTATTATTTCTATTTACAATGCATGAAACGCTTAATAAGTTCTTTTTCATATTTGGAACATAATATACATTTGAAACATCAATTTTATTTGACTTACCTCCTGCTTTACAGTACATTGTTACTTTTCCTATTTTCTCCGACTTAAGACAAAATCCATCACCTACCTTAATATTTACAGGTGTTTCTAAAATTTTATAATCACGAATATCACACATTTAACAAATCTTTATACAGTTTATAGGTACTCCGTTATATTCCTACCTTGGTAAAATCAAGACAATGTAGCTATAATTAAGAAAAACATAGTCATCAACACCAACCGTTTTAAATCGAAAAAAATGGTTTATTTCGGTTTTAAACGGGTTTTTTCGTTTTAAACGGATTGGTTTAAGTGGTTTTAAACCGGCCTTACATCTATAGTCACGACTTGCCATGACACGTTAATATGTTTCCGGCTTTAAGCCAGAAATATAAGATGGCCACAAGCATAGACGTATTGTAAGTATAAAAGTATTAAACTTTTAGTATTAAATGGACGCAGCATTTTACAAAAAAAGCGTAGCCATTTTTCTGTGTGTCGCTGTCAATGAGCATGAGAGACAAAAATTCATGTAGTGGTTTGGATTATCGATATGAAAATGAATTAGCTTTCAATTTCACATCAACTCGTGATTATGTATTATCCAGATAAAAGATTTTCTTCAAATACATTTCAAAATGCAATACAAATCAACAAATTAATAAAATAAATACTTATTTAATTATGTATTTCAAATATGTAACTATTTTCACGATGAATTTTAATTATATTGAAAATATGTATCTACTATTGTCTTTTGGTTTTGATTATCAAGAAGGAGTTGGAACATGAGTATCTCGATGGCTTATGAAATTGTCTGTCTTTTTTTTACGGAATTTTCATTCTATAGTTGACAACACTGTTCAGATCACCCACATCACAGAAAAGGGCTAGAACCCAGTGCCGTAAAACCATAATAGAAAAAAAGAGAGTTTTTGGCGGGATTTCATCGAGTGTTGGCGTCTTATTTTAATTATTCTTAAATTCGTTCATAATGGATATTGTGAAATGAAATTGGTGTGATTTGGTGTTACAACTGTCTGCGTAACTGAAGAATTAGTAGAATCGTCAAAATATACGCTATTCCGGTCAAGTGGACGTGAGAATTTTATTGTAGTATTGACTACCTCACAGAAGCTTATCGAAAAAGCCAGCTCGATACATTTCGTGCCAAACACTTCAAGAAACATTAGAATGCGTCACACCGACATTCTAATGTAAAAAGAAAAACAGAATAATTTAACTTAAGACTAGGCTGTATGGGCATTATTCCCCTTGCCTTCCCTGAAAAGGGAGAACTTAACAAAAACAAAAAAAAGAAAACACCCACGTCACAGCTGACAGTGAACAACATGAACAAATTTTAATTTATTATCTTCATAATAAATTTTTTATTTTATTTAGTAAATATAATCATTTTCAAGTATGGTCCAACCAATCAAAGACACTTTTTTATACTTTGCATATGGCAGCAATTTATTAAAGAAAAGAATTCGTATCAATAATCCTTCAGCTGAATTTTTGGGCATCGGTCGCCTTGATGTTAGTTTTATTATTTAATATTAGGCCAATGACGATGTTTCGACTCTTTTACATTCTACTACGACAGTCAAAGCTTAATAATAATAAAATATGTTTTAGAACCATCAACTAAACTTTATGAGGTATTCTGATCACTGGAGAGGCACTTCTGCTACAATTGTTCCAACGGAAGGTCCCTATGTTTGGGGGGCTATTTGGAGACTTCATAACAAAGATATGCCTGCATTAGATAGGTAATGAAAAGTGTCATTGATGTCAATTGAGTAGGTCGAAATAACCTATTTATATAAAAACTGTTTTTAATTTTATATATATATTTAAATAAATATATTTTAAGCATTTAACTGCTAGGATGTTTAAATCAAAAGAAAATTTTACTGTGATTAAATTTCAGACAAGAAGGAGTTGATACAAATTGGTATTTTCCAAAAATGGTTGAAATAATTACAGCTTTGGGCACAAAAGTGGAGTGCCGTACTTATCAACAATCAATTAATCCACCAGTGTGTAAAGAAGATGAAATTTTGCCACTGGATAGACGTCCATCGTCAACATATCTAGATTGTATTATAAATGGAGCCATAGAATGTCAACTACCTGAAGATTATATAGATAAGTTAAAAAAAATTCCACACAATGGCAATAAAGCATCACCAAAAATGATAGAAAAGCTTAACAGTTAATCTGTAGTTGTAATTAGAAGTATGAAAATTATCTGTGATTTATTCAACTACTACTTGTGAATGTAATTAACATAAAGGTGCATTGTATATAAGCGAATGCTGAACACTAAAATTTTTAAATATTTTCACATGTTTACAAATTGCATAGACATAATTTATTTATATAATGTATCCATAATGGTCAAATAAAATATATGGCATTACCAGCAGAAATATTATTACTATAACATTTGTTTTAATTATAAAGCCACAAATTATTAATTTAATTTTGCACAGATATATTACTAGCTTCTGAATGTGATTTTGTCTGTATTATAATTGGTTTTTTGGGACTCGCTCTGGAACCCAACGTTTGAAAAAGGGCATTTTTTATGAAAATGGGGAAAATTGTTTTTCACTATAAGCATTTTTTTATCAGGCATTTTTAATTAGTTTAACTTATACGTACTTATACGTACGAATCACGAAAGGACAAAAATCATTTTATTTAGTAGAGTTATTATGGGGCTGTGTTTCCTGTTTTTTTAATGGAAAAAAGTAAGGGCCGATCTTATTTTTACCATTACTTGCTCAATTTTCATGGTAGAGAATTTGTTTTTTGAATAAGTTACCTATATTTATGAACTCTAAAAAAGATAATGAGTTTTCCTCGAAAAATGCACAGTTTTCCCGCTATTTGACTTAGATTCTTTGACAAAAACAATAGCTCACCAAATTAAGAAGCGGTAGCTCGGACGGTATTATTTGCAGATTTATACAAAAAAAAAGCTAAGCTAACATTCAATTTCACTTTCTATAGATTTTATGATAAAATTGGTATTTTTCAAATAATTCGTGAAACCCCTATTAAAAACATCGATTTTTCGTTGAAAAACTGTGACCTTCCAATAGCAAATTACTTAATCGAAAAATATTGGTTTTTAGACAAATATGTATAAAACATAAAGTACTTTTTAATCGATTTCTGTAGTAAAAAAGCAATAAAAAATCCAGCCCTGAGATGGGGTGGCAACCACCCCCAGGATAAAATCGCGCTTCTGCATGATATAGATGTTGATCCTAGGGCTATTTCCCTATCTTCTGTGAAAATTTCTAGTAAATCCATGCAGGACGAATAAATTGTGACCCAAAACGCTTCATTTCCTGGACTACATAGACGAGAGGGTTCGTTCCATCCATACTAAATGAAGAAGTAAACATAACTAAAAATAATTGAGCAGAAAGAAATATATTGATACTTCTTAATATTTTATTATTAGCTAGCTTCCGCCTGCAACTTCTTCCGCCTTATAGTTAGTTTTTCGTAAATCCCACGGAAACCTAACATTTTCAGAAACACGTGGGCATTGCTCAAATTAATGATATACCTACCTAATATGAGGCCTACCCTTTCTCCCCCAGCTACACCCACGTAAACACCCCAATCCAAGCTGAAAATTCACTATGGCTTAACTTCTAGATGACTTCAAGTTTATCTCTCAAATGTTAGTTTTATTTTAAATGTAGGTAACATAGGTAAAGAAGAGCTCGATGGCGCAGTGCTTAGCCTACAATCATGACCGTTAAGTAACTTTGCAATGGTCGATCTTAAGTTGGGTCAGTAATAATATTTTATCACTAGTTCCTTCGTGCTCCGGAAGACACGTTAAATCATTGAACTCGGCGGCAAATGCGGTCATTACCACTTCATCGATCTGCACTTTCTGTGTGTGCTTAGTGGGTCATTCATGACAGGGGAGAGGATCGCACAGAAATCAGAAATAACTCTAAACTGGATTGTATACTTAGTACAACTATGTTGAATCGTCCAAAGCATATTTTTCCCTACCCACTCGTTGTTGGACATACTTTTTAGCTGCGGAGAAAAACGAGCGAAAAATCTCCACACAACAGTAAAAGTATAATGTAACAACATTTACAAAGCATTATGTTGTTACAACGTCAATACAATCATGATTTATTTTATATGGAAAACCTGTTGAAATGATTGGAACAGTTCAAACCAAATTCTTTAAACTTATCTCTTAAGGATTCTTTAACTTTAAGATTATAAATTGATCGAAAAGCTCTCTTCTGCAGCACAACAATAGTTTCGAATGTCCACGGCGTTTCCCCACAATAAAAATCCGTACGGCATTACACCACGGAAATAACTAAAGTACACTAATCTAGCCGTATCTACATCCGATAACTGGCGTATCTTCATTACGGCATATGCTGCAGAGCCAAGTGTATTTGACAATTTATTAATATTTGGGCCCCATTAAAGCTTAGAATTAGCTTCTAAGCAGTAGTAGTAATCCCTAAGAATACTGTGGTGTCTGCAAAGCCCATATTCCTATTTTTAACATTCACACTGGTTTTTACCTGTTTACATTAGGTAAAACAAATTTCATACATTTCGTTTTTCTTTCATTACGTAATAAATTATTAACATTGAACCAGTACTACCTACTACTACTACTTTAGAGATACAATTGTTCACGTCGTCAATAACCGTTTCCCTGCGTTTGAGTTTAAATAAAAGTGATATATCATCCACGAACAATACTATCTCATGGTTATTGCTTGCATACTAAGGTAATATAAACTAAGAATAAGAAAGGACCAAGTATTGAGCCCTGCGGAACACCCATCTTAACCAGCGAACCCGGAGACTAGAAAAATAAATCTATCGGTTCATGTATCAAACAGAATGTGAGCTTTCCACCGGCCGGATAGCGAAAGGCACTGGTTCGAACTCAGCCTTTATACTTGTTTAATGAAGTTTTACTGGTAGCTTTCCAATTACAGCATTATGCGGCATAATGCTTAACGTTGAGTGTTCCAACTACAGCAACGCTTCGCACAATTGAGCACTCTCAAAAGTAATGCTTGCTTTCGTGTGATGCGTGCAATCGTACCAACTCAGAGACAGAAAATTAACAAGTGTTTTTTCTTTAAGTTGGCATTGATTGAAATGTTCTATTTATATGTTATCGTTAGTAAATATTATTTATTGTTGAAAAATTATTATAACTTTCGTTTCATCATAGTTTTTTTTTAAATAATCAAAGTTAATTCAAACTGTGTTAAAAATTAATTATAAATATGGATGAAGGTACAAACATTGACTTTTTTTTCAACACTGAACTTAGCGCACTCTGCTGGTGCATTTGAAAACTAATTCACGTTCCAATTAAGCATCAGCACAATTCGGCATTGTGCGCCACTGAGTCACATTATGCTCTCCACTATCAACAACTACCACTGGGTCACTTTTTTTTAATTTACTTAAAAAAACATATCATAGTTAGTCTTCTTTTTAATTACAGGATGAGTAGGTAGTACTACTCTCTCATGATTACGTCAAAACATAGGGTCAAAAAAGGTCAAAGCCATAATAAACAACACGATCAAGTAACAATATTATGTACTTATTCATTAAGTACTTTGTGTAAAGAGAGAAAAAACTTTATATGGCCTAGGTAGTCTTCGCAAGCAAGCTACATTTCCAGCAACTAAAATGTTGGCCAAGTTTAAAAAATATTTATTACTTGCTTAACTATGTTAAAATGGGATATGTACGGCAGATACGGCAGATTTCTTTATTTTTCATACAGTAGCCATATGTTTACCTACATTTTACACCTGCATTGCCCTACAGCCGAATTTGTGTCTATAGCACGACTAGATGTTAGTACCTTTAAAATGAAAATAGTTACTGTCTAGTGTGTATCGACTTTACAGTTTTATAACTACATGTATTTTTTACCCGACTGCATACGCAATTCAAGCAGCGCAGAAAGGGTTTTTTGTTTAACAGTCTATATATGTTCCTTTGTGGCACACTAGTTCCTGGTACCAATTTAATTTTCTATAGTAATAATAACAAATTGAAAATAAATGATTACCTATTATTACTAAGATATTATGTTAACTTTCCACTTTACAGATATTGAAATTGAAACATGACATTAACGTGCTTATTAGATAAACTAATATTTCTTTACAGAATTACAGACTTGAATTTATAAGATATTCGAAATTTTGGGGTGGTCCAACAGCTACTTTGGTGCCCACTGCAAATGCCCATGTTTGGGGAGTGATATGGCGTCTAAAGGACGAAGACAAAGAAGCTCTTGACAAGTAGGATTTATTATCATAATTTGAGCGTAGAGTGCCTTTCGCTTTGCCTTGCCAGACCCCATCCCCTACTGGTAACATAACTCACTATAGGTACATAACTGTAAATAAAAGTATTATGTTCTATCCTTTTTATCCAATGGCAGGTCAATTTCGATTAGGAGGTAATCCTTCGTTTCGTATCCATGCCCAGGGCCGTATTTTGTAATCGGACGCCCCGGGCCACTTACCATCCCCGCCCCGCCCCCCCAAAAATTAGTTAAGCTGATTAAAAATATAGGTCGAAAACGAATGCCTTTATATGAATTTCAGCAGCTCTTGCAACCGCTCCACATAGTCTGCCACCCTGGGCCATGGGCCTCTTGGACCGGGGTAACCCTGATGATCGTATCTACTTCGATTGAAGCGTGATTTATGTCGAACGCGTACGTTCCCTACCCAAATAGGCACTACTTAAAACCAAATAATGTGTTAAGGAAAGTGCAATGTATAGAAAGTCTGCAGTCTGTCAGGACTCTAGGTTTTTAATTAAGGCAGACAAAATAAAATACATTCGTATTATTACAGAGCCAAAGGGGTTGAAATAAAGAAATACTACGTACGATATGTGGATGTTACGACTCCATACATGGGTCCATTTCGCTGCCGTGCTTTTACACAAAAAGAAAATCCTTTACCAAGAGGCGATAATGACAAGATTCCCGTAGAACAGTGGCCATCGTGGACTTACCTAGAAATATTAATCCGTGGGGCAATCGAGCACGGCTTGCCAGATTACTACTTGCAAAACTTGAAGAAACTAAAAGTTAACGGCGAAGAAGCTTACTTACGAACTGCGCGTCTTCTTGACCTTTACGCCACGGAACAGCCTTGCCAGTGCAAGGTACCGGGCCGAATACCAAGAAAACCTCTCAAATTAGATTTAACGAAACGAAAATAACGGGAAATTATATGTATAAAAATAAAAACAACGGTATCATTGAAAAATTGTTTTTATTGAGAAATGTATAGGCTTCCTTTTAACTTGTTATAAAATATATTCAAACAAGGGGTATATTAGGATACACTTTGATATTCAAAACTATGCTTCGCTAATTTTTAACTTCTTTATTAATATAAATATTAATATTATTATTAATAGGTACTCGGTTCTCATTAAATAAAAAATATAAAATTGTACACTATCTCAATCGTTTGGTGAATTGTATCTAAATTGAGCATAAAGCACAACGCTACCCCAACACTTCACATAACACGCACACAAATCACACGAGGAACACATCATTTGGAAAAATACAATATTATTTTATCAGTCAATAATTTATGAACAATATATTTACTAAAAATGAGGTAATGCCTTACTAGGTGAAAAATCACAATTTAAAGTGAATACTGATTATAAAAACAAGAGCGCATGACGTAAGTAATATATATAAATAGATAACATTGACAAAGTCCGGAGGGAGCGGCGCGCGAGGGAGTAATGCGCCCGCGCCCAGCTCCCCGAAAGTTCACACTTCACACTCACTGCTTACACCATACAATGGTCCAACAGCCGCCATATTAACTGACTTGAGCTGGAATAAAATCTATTCCGATAATAATTTTAACAAATTTGTGTATGCCTTAAGCACCACTTAACACTATTATTGTATAAATTTATCGCAAAAAAGAACAGCTGCATAATTATTCAATCATGCACAGTATAGCAACCATTTTCAATGAAGTAACACAAGAGCTATCTTAAAACATGTGATTCAAACAGCGTGAAACTAGCTTCATGATCAACCTTTCCCACGAAACAGTTGATTTGCAAAATTTTTTAACCATTATATTTATCAATGTTTCAATTGCGGATTAGTTTATAGTGGGTTTCATTTATCTGCAAATGCAAAATAATAAAAAAAAATATACTAAACAATATATCTCAATTCAGTTTAAAATATACCATCTACATAAAGTAAAACATTAATATAAATAAAATCATGTTTTGCAAAATAAGAAGGTGCGTTGAATTCATAAAATAATTCTGGAACTTGAGAGAAATACAAACGTAAAGTAATAAGTAATATTAATAACTCTATAAAATGCTCTCTGTGTAATTTTAAAGATGCCATTAGTGAAAGTGCTCTCAAAGTTTGGAGAACTAATTTTATACAATAACAACGATCAGTATTCCAATAACAACCCTAGTCAGTTGATATGGCCTCGGCTAGGGTGCTGCTACCACTCGCTCTTTTGGACAGATCAAATAAGGCGTGGAACAAAAATACAGTTGACAAAGACAATTAGAATCGCGAAAAACTTTCCTGTCGGGGTGGGAACCGAATACACAACCTCGCAATCTGAACAAGTGCTATTTCATTAAACCGCTGAGCTATTTATTATACACACAAGTTTCGGAGATTGTATTCAAAAATATTTATAAATCAGTTACGACGAAACTTTGCTATTTAGGTTTGAAGTTTAAAAAAATATAGCTCTAATATATTTAACATTATGCTTACTGGTACATTTACTTTAACTTATATTTCCATAAATTGAGCAAAAGGCACTATGCAATTTCTAAAATTAAAGAATATTTGGATTTTCACTTTGGGAACTAATTGTTAATCGAAGAGTTTTATTTTTACGACAAAATGTGCAAGATGCAACGTGCCTTGAGCCCCTCGACATCAACGCTACTCGTGTCCAGCCACGTGCCATTAGAGCGCCGCGACTGAGCCAACCACTTCATCACCCAGATCCTTTCATATTGCCCACACACCAAAGCCAGCCTCGGTAAGAGAACAACTACATCTACGCGCTTCCTTTTGACATTTCCTGTCAATCTATAGCTGTACCAAGGCCGTAGCTAGGGGGGGCATCAATGGGCTATTTATGCCTATTTATTGTGGATAAAATTTTCAGTTAAATTACCTATGACAACAGCAACCCCCCCCCCCCCCCCCCACACCCTTCCCCCTTTTGGCGACGCCCTAAATATGATAGATACAATCAGCATCAATGACAAACAGACCGGACAAACAACACAGTAATAAGGAATAATGTTTTTATTGGAAAAAAGGGAACATCATTATATCAGAAATGTTTAAAGTCACGCGTAGGTGTGGTCGGTCTCTAAAAGTCAAACATTTGGCACGGTCTCGACCGCTTAGTTTATCTTTTATTTATTTAGGAAAGCTACTCAATTTGAGATAACCATACAATCCACACACAAATGGTACCGCTCACGTGCTCGCATACCACTTGTGCATATAAATTGGTTGTATCATCTATCTCACACGACTCAACGATCCTGCATTCGGTTGAAGGCTGGATGTCTGAAGGCACTCGTTTATACCCTTATATCAAATTATCGTTATTGTTTCTACTACTGCATCGGACCACAGGTCTTGCGACCTCTCGTCCGATATTCAGGATGTCGGATTCTAACTTTGGTAGATATTATATACGAATATGCAAAAAACGTATGTAAACCTACCGTATACAGTTATTATACTTGCTATATTTAAGTCCCAAAGCTGCGTTACAATATTGTCCATTGTAGACAACCTAGAAATTTTCTTTGAATAATTTAAAATGGTTGTTAACTTCCTTTTACATGGTAAGCTAAAGTATTGGTTATTGTAAATTTATGTAAGATAAAGATGGAGCTAGCAATAAGTTACATAGTAATATTCATAGCAATAAACTGTCGACAATTATTATATAATGTATATATGTATATATATATATATATATAATACAATATTAGAACAATTCATAATATCAATTGCATTAAAAATAGTTTAATTCATCTCGCGAAGGAGTTTCATTATTTATAAAATAAACTACAATCGGAGCCCGAACACGCAATATAAAACTTTTTCAATATTAAGATTGATTAGCCAACTGGATTAATTATATTATAAAAAGACACCCAATGAACACATTACTTGTAAAGTTCAGTAGTATAAGGATAAGGTAACCACATGAAAACATTAATGAAAACTAAAGTTTGTGCGAATATTAATTGTGACTAAAGTATTTAAAAATATATAATCGCATTAATAATCATTTGGTAACAAGTAATACGAAATCAGTCTCCGACTGTCTATAATTCATCTATATGACGATAAATTTATCGCATTCGTTTCATTCAGAGTACCTATATAATGATTAATTAAGTGGTGAATTTATTCACTCAGATGCTGTAAATTAACTAACGAGATTATAACATATAACTAGATGTCAGTAGAAGCATTGGTTTACATTTTGTATTAAAGATGACTATTTATTAATGCAGGTGGCCTACCTACATCGCAATATGAAGAGTATATCTTGAAATAAACAATAATAGTAGGTATAATATAACTATGTAACAACAATGGCAGGTAAATCAATTGCATTGTAATTGATCGGGAACACATTGATTTCAGATTCATTATACAGTGCAACCTTGATATAACAAACCGGAAGGGAACAAGTATATATTCGTTATATCGAGTAATTTTTTAAAATGAGGTTTGTTATATTGAGGTTAGGTTGGTCTAAAATTTGTTATATAGAGGTAAAAATAGTTTCCTGTCGTGACATGAGTCACGTAATATGGGATTAAGGGCCATATATTGATGGAAACGTTATATAGAGGTTCCTGGTTGACAAAATTCGTTAATTAGACGTATTTACTCTTTTTTGGTAGTTCAACATATGTCATAAAGAGGTTATTCGACAAAAATGTTCAAAATGTAATGGTATATTTAACATTGACTCTTATGAAAAATTCAAGGGGATTACGAAGAATTTGTTAAATCAAGGAAGTCGTTATATTGAGGTACGTTATATTAAGGTAGCACTGTAATTGTTGGTGTTTTACAACAGCTGGCTTCACATAAACTGAGTATAGTAAAATACATAGAACTATAAACACATATTAGCTATTCGGTCGTTGTTAGTCGAAATCTGTCGAAAGATACATTGAAACAAGAGTGACCGTCGTCGTTTGTCAGTTTCGTCGAATCTTTTTTGCAGCAAATAGGTAATGACAAACAAAGAGAAGGAGAAGAAGTTATCAGGAAGTAAACATTTAACAAAAAATCATGCATGCATCTAACGTTAAAAAATATTTAAAGCTCTTAAAATAGGTACATTATATAACAAAGTAATATTATATAACCAGACTGAACATACATAATAGTGTCAAATGAAGAGATTATTTCAGAACTAGATTTTCATTGCTTCCGCGGTCTCGATACACAGGTATTTAAAAATATTCATTACTCAATTGGACATCAGAATAGAGTAGAATATAAATTGAATACAATATTGATGTTGTCAGTTACTTAGTTGCATAAAGATTCACATAGCACACGAGTGCCTAATCCGTAGATCGCGATGCACTTTCAACAAAAAGTGCTTTTAACAATAACTATAACTCAACAATATCGACAAATTCGACACTCGCATGTAAGATTAAAAACAACGCCGGCGGCACGCTAAAGAACTGAATAAAAATTAATTTGTACACGACCTAGTCAACATTCCTATACACACATTACATCTTACATCGTAAACTTAACATTAGTAGGCTTTGTCAAAAATGACACCAATACAACTATTTAATTGAGGTAAACTATATAGGATTCACGTCGAAACATATCGACTCTCAAAATCGCCTCAGCAAAAATATTAATTTCCTGATATGAAACGAACCGTCAGACGAAAAACTGCGCGTGCGCCTCGGCGGCCGCCCACAATTTCATTAAACAAAAGTCAACTGGTTAACAAGTCCTTACTTATTTACTAGGTTTTTCTGAGCTTAACAATAAAGTTCGACCCTTAGTAATTTTATCCGTATCTGGATAACGCTTTACTAATCGAACGTTTGTCAGTAAAACAGAAAAAAGTTGTAGATACAAATGTATTTGTAAAGTTTGAGCTGCCAAGAAGGGCGTTCGCCAAGGAGCACGCATGCAATAAATAAACGAGGCGGCCCGCGGTCTCTGCCGCAGTGCACGATTCACTAGCTACGCTTACAACTAGGATTCGAAGAGCCAAAAGGGCCCCATCGACTAGCGACGTACTTTCTAAACGCGGTCCAGTCCGCAGGGTAAGGCGGGAATCGGTGCCCTATGTTTGAATCAGTGGTTTGATATGGAAGGCATAGCATGCACATTAAGGTCAAGAACGACTCCTTGTGTAAGAACATTTTAAAAGTACAAATCTGTTTAGATGACTAATTTAACTATGAACGGTACACAAAGACTGAACGACACTCGCATGATATATGCAATTCTCTAGAAAGAGAGAAAGCGTGTCTCACTCTTTGACTTTACATTTGGACAGGGAACGCTCAGTCCATTCGCTGTCTACATTTGAGAAAAGAAAAAAGCGAGAAACAGGTACAATATTTAAATTAAAAAATAGTGTAAATTTGAGAATACGAATGATTCAAAGGTAGGGCAACTGTGTTATTGGCGCGGCGTTTGCAGTGCGGTGCGTCGACAGGGCGCCCAGGCCTGAGGTAGATAGAGGTGGTCGGTCACAGACCTAGATCTAAGTGGACGACGTAAGTGCTTCAAATTGTGCGAGAACCGAACGTGTCTAATTTTGATAATGCCTAATTGTGGCATATCAAGCTGTAAAAGTGCACAGCTTGATATGCCACAATTAGGCATCTGGTTTGAATGATGACGCGCTGAAATAAAATAGCGAGAAAAATGCTTACGGCATGATATTGGCTCGCGAACTGCTTACATACACTTGCGTCGTCCATTTCGATCTACGTCTGCGTCGGTGGGTGAGCCAGACGGCGCTAGCAGCCCGGCGCGGGCAGGTCTCCGTTGGCGGGCCGCGGCGCCCCGACCGGCTGCAGCGGCTCCGCGGCCGCGTCGTCGGAGGCGCGGGACCGTAGTGACGACAACTCCCGTACCCACGACGCTAAGCGGCCTGATACACCGAAGAGGTTCGACCCGGAGCCGGTCGCTACCGCGCCTACGTTCACCTCCGGCATCTCTTGCTCCTCGTCTGCAGATGAACGGTACATGCTTTCATTGGTATTGACATATTGGACTTTTGCCTACTCCTATAGACATAGAGAATGTAATGTGTCGTATTCATGTAATTATCCAATTTAAGAACCCACTCACGTAGAGAATGTACTGAGCCCTCTCCCTAACCAACTGTTAAGCAAAACTGGGCAGATAAGTGTGAGAGAAAAGAAACGAAAGGTAATGGCTGTTTTTTTTCTCTTTCTAGAGATTTGTCTATCTCATGTTCCAGTGTTGCTCAGTCCATTCTTTATGTTTATGCAGTAACCATACACATAGTGATATATTTGCGCAATTTTACTTACCATACCTACAATTGATATGTTGGTAGCAGTTTGCGCAAAATTCTTTCAACGAGTGTCTAGCTGGATACCATAACCAAAATGTCTGCATGATTTCGAAATGATGTTACAATTCTATATGAATAATTTCTTAATTTTCGCAGCGCAGAGCGCAGATCCGTTTAGTTCGGAAAAAAGAAGGAATTAATAGTTTTTCTTAGCTTCGCTTTTAAATCACTGCCATTCATTGACACGTAACTCATATTTGCCATAACTAATCGGAGTTATTACCAAATATTCACAACATTATTTTAATAAGAAATAAACCCGCGTAGTCAACCCACAAGCAATAACATTTGAGATTTCGTAGACCTGACGCTAGGCTCGAACGAATCAGAACTAGCCGAGTTTCTGCAAAGAGTCCAAAAAGTGAGCGTGGATTATAGCCTGCATATCAATCGGACTAAGTCAAAACTCATGTTTGTGGATCGGGCGGGCACGTACCAGCGGATGGAAGAACTGTCTGACCTTGATACGGTGGACAAATTTGTCTACCTGGAATCTCTAGTTGCTGCGGACGGTGACTTTGAAAAAGAGGTGATAAGGCGAGCCCAGATTGCAAAAACAGCTGTGAAGCGACTAGAGATCTGGAGGAACAGAACCTGATCTTCTCTATATTTCTGTACGCTTCAGCCGGTCCTGGCCGAACTGCAGATCAAATGCCGCTTATCTACCATTTGCATCCAGCGGATACTACAGTACTTCGGTCACGTGGCTAGACGTGAACCAGATAACTTGGAAAAGCTTATTGTGGTTGGCCACGTGGAACGAAAGATGAGTCGCAGAAGATCACCGACGCGATGGACCGATGCCGTGAAGGAAGCCTACCAGGGAACTCTACAGACGTCAATTCGGAAGGCGGAAGACCGCGTGGAGTGGAGAGCCTTGGTGGACAAAATGTCACGACCCTCAGTCATGAGGAAGCGAGGACGAAGAAGAAGAATTTTATGAATATTAGCAGCGATTTTACTATTCTGAGAGAACAAACATAATATTTTTTCTAAAGCCCTGTGCATATTAACCTGTCGTGGCGCGTCGGTTTCATACGGTTATTATGGGTTAGAGAAAGAGAGAGACATTAGAGGGTTGACACGACACGAGACGTAAATATGTTTCTAACCATAAATGTATGAAATCGAGTGTGTTTCTGGCGCGCCACGACACGCTACGACACCTCAATATGCTTATAATGGGCTTAAAAAGTAATTATATAGAAATGATTTTTTGTTCTATATTCTAAAGTCTAAAATGATGTCACACGCTAGAAACTTCCGGTCAAAGTGACATTACATTGTATCGTTTGATGTTTTACTGACAATCGTGTGACGTCACATGCTAATAAGACGCCATGAGGTCCAGTCCCGTCCATAATGTCTATTTTCGCGGCAACTTCAATTTTTTTTGATTAAGTTTTCTTTACTGAAAAACTCAACAGAATGATGATGAATATCCACTTTTTATGGATTACTTAAAAATTAGTAAATAACGTGAGGCCGTTTGCTAAAACTTGTCCAATGCCCTTTAATATCTGTTAAGAGCCTGCCGATACCATAAACGTGAATATATTTTCAGTTACTTTATACCGGTCAATATAGAAATTTCAGCGTGCACCGATAGTGAGTGAGTATAAAGAAGTCTTTATAACAGCAAAATGAAGACACCTTAGGTATTATTATTATTCAATCATGATATAGTAAATTCACAGTAAAAACTGTCACTAAAAAAATCTAGACGTTTTTTTAATATGATACTCCAACTGAAATATTTATTTAGGTCTATTTTTGAATTAAGGATAATTAAATAATCCAATAAAGACCGATTTGGAAATTAAACAGTTTTGTCATTCAATCTATTGCCTATCTACTACAATAAAAATATCTACTCAGCGAAGGCAGAAAGTACCGTGTCGAAAAAGCGCTCAAAAGAACAATAGCGTAGTTTCGATAGGAAAACCAATAAGTAGCTATTTATAGTAGTTTAAATGCTCCATTATTAAAACATGCGAAGATTTAAAAAGAATTTGAACTCTCGTTCAATATAACTAAGGTAGAAAATAGCAGTGCTACCCAGCCGACTAGTTGCTACGATGAAATATGGCCACTCAGAAAATGATAACATAAGTTTAGTGTGCTTTATACATTTTGTGACATGCATACCGTTACTTACGGTTAGTGTGCCGTCTGCTCGCCACATATATCGTCTGTGACGGCTAACCGGGCAATCAAATAAATTCATATAATTAGTATCAACAACATTCAAACATAGCACAGCTCCTAATGTTATCATTCACTGATGTGTGCCCATTGGTTACATAATAATTTAAAGCATTTATTTTTTATGCCATATAAAGTTTTTTCTTGAATTCTGTTAACTGAACTGTGCTATATATTTAATTAAAAATAATAAACTAGCCATAGCCAATTTCATGAATAATTAATATGGGAGATTGATGGTTACTGAAATGGTAGAATTTTATTATATTATACACACAGTAATATGACGTAAATATCGTAAAATTAACAATTAACAGCTATTTTAACTTTTTATTAAAAAGAGTGCTGACCGGCGGCGAAACGTTGCAGCGCGTACATCTCCTACCCCTGCGGCGTGTGGAAGAAGGAGCGGTGTCGGATGGATGCGTGCGCGGTGTACTTCAGATCAGCCACTAGTCTCAGGAACGAGGGCCGTTGATGAGCTTTATTGATGTCATTCTCTGCACATAGTCCGCTATATATAAGCAACAAATACAGACCGGTGGTAGAACGCTGCAGTGCGTACATCTGCTGCTCCTGCGGCGCGTGGAAGAAGGCGCGGTGCTGGATGGATGGGTGTGCGGTGGGCGTCAAATCAGTCACCAGTCTCAGGAACGGGTGTCGTTGATGAGATTCTCTGAATAAAACCCGCTATATGAGCAATGACAAGCGTACTGACCGGCAGCGGATCGCTGCAGCGCGTACATCTCCTGCCCCTGGGGCGTGTGAAAGAAGGAACGGTGTCGGAAGGATGGGTGTGCGGTGGGCGTCAGATCAGCCACCAGTCTCAGGAACGAGGGCCGTTGATGAGCTTTATTGATGATATTCTCTAAACATAGTCCGCTATATACACAGTCAGGTCATAAGTATCGTTACACAGTAAAAACTTTTCTTTTAGAATGCTGGCCACAAGAAAGTTTATTGAATTCGAATTTTTCATGAAAATAAAAATGTATACTTTTTAGAATTTTACTTATTTTTAAATATTACCGTTACGCTTAAAGAAGACCGTGTTGCAGTTATTGCGTTGCATCATTGCGGTTACGCGCCATTTAAAATTTTTGACATACTGAAAATTTTGAATATAACCAAGATTCGTTTATCGTACCATCAAACGTTACAATGAAGACTAGTGTAGATAACAGGTCAAGAAGTGGTCACCCTCGGTCTGTTAGGACTCAAGCAGTGATAAAAGCTGTGAAGGCGGGAATTCAAAGCAATCCCAAACGTAAGCAGAAACTGTTGGCCCTTTAGATGGGGCTAAGCAGAACCACGGTGAAAAGGGTGTTAAATGAAGACCTAGGGCTTCGGGCATATCGAAGAAAAACAGGACATCGTTAGAATGCTCGTCTAATGGACCTGAGACTGACGAGATGCCTTTGTTGAAGCGGTACGGGGAAAAAAATATCGGGAAATTCTTTTTACGGATGAAAAAATTTTTACCGTAGAAGAGAGCTACAACAAACAAAATGATAAGGTCTATGCACACAGTAGTGAAGAAGCGAGCAACCGTATTCCGCGTGTCCAACGAGGTCATTTTCCATCCTCGCTCATGGTATGGTTGGGAGTTTTTTATTGGGGCTTAACAGAGGTACATTTTTGTGAGAAAGGTGTAAAAACGAATGCAGTTGTGTATCAAAATACAGTCCTGACGAACCTTGTGGAACCTGTTTCTCATACCATGTTCAATAACAGGCACTGGGTATTCTAACAAGATGCGGCGCCAGCTCATAGAGCGAAGAGCACACAAGATTGGCTGGCGGCGCGTGAAATCAACTTCATCCGGCACGAAGACTGGCTCTCCTCCAGTCCAGATTTGAGTCCGTTAGATTACAAGATATGGCAACACTTGGAGGAAAAGGCGTGCTCAAAGCCTCAATCCAATTTGGAGTCACTCAAGACATCCTTGATTATGACAGCCGCCGATATTGACATTGATCTCGTTCGTGCTGCGATAGACGACTGGCCGCGCAGATTGAAGGCCTGTTTCCAAAATCACGGAGGTCACTTTGAATAAACTTTATTGTCATAAGAATCTATGTTTTGTTAAGTTCATTTTGGTATATAAATGGTTACATAATGAATAAACTTCTTTCAATTATTTTATATTAAACATGTGACAGAATGTATGACCTGACTAGGTATAAGCAATAAATACTGACCGGTGTGGTAGAACGCTGCAGTGCGTACATCTCCTGTCCCTGCGGCGTATTTAAGAAGGAGCGTTGTCCGAAGGATGGGTGTGCGATGGGTGTCTAATCAATCATTAGTCTCAGGAACAGGTGCCGTTGATGAGGTTTGTTGATGAGATTCTCTGAATATAACCCGCTATATGAGCAATGACAAGCGTACTGACCGGCGGCGGATCGCTGCAGCGCGTACATCTCCTGCCCCTGCGGCGTGTTGAAAAAGGAGCGGTGTCGGAAGGATGGCTGTGCTGTGGGCGTCAGATCAGCCACCAGTCTCAGGAACGAGGGTCTCTGGTGAGCTCGATGGGCCCAGCACGCCCGCATGAGTTCGTACAGCCGGTCCGGACAATGCTCCGGCCGCTCCATTACCCCACCAGAGACTACGTAACGGAGCACCTGCTCGTTCGATAGGCCCTGCGCAATAACATTTGACGTGTTAAATAAAATATCAGTTTTGATGTCCAAAAAAAGTTTAAAGATAGGCATAGCAGATTTTCCACTCAAATTGGAGCGCCCGTCTGGGGAAGTAACCTCCTTCTTACAAAAGGTTACAGTAAAATAACGCAACACTATTTCGTTAACATTGTAAAAAAGCAAAAATAAAGCTAGTAGAGGATGAACTGAGGGATGAAAGTTTTTCTGGAGATCTCTCTCTGGATTAAAATTTTGCGACAATGTTCACCTGGTAAGGCTGCATAGCGAGTGTCGCCATCTCCCATAAAACGACGCCATAACTCCAAACGTCGCTACCACTGGAAAAGACCTGTTAGACAAAATATTATCATCATTTTATAACAAATTAATGTTTTACAACAATGTAAGTATGGAATTCTTAATAAAAATGTGGGGCTGAAGAACCCGTTGTAAACAACTAGACAGATGTTATTGCACTTTCACCCCTAGGCAGCATTGCTAAGACTCATATTCGAATGGACCGCACCCCTCGTTCTTCATCAAGGTCATTTACGTCACGGGCCGCGGTGTTTAATGTATGTTCGTGATTTTGGTTCCAGAGCGTTCGTGACAATATCAATTTCGTGTAAGATGTTATTTTATATTATGATACAAGTACAATGCATTGTAAATATTTTATTATTCCATCATAACTTATTTGTGAGTTTATCAAAAGCAATGAATAAAGAGTAAACTAAGAGTGCTTACCCCGTCTTTTAAGCTCTCGGGGCTCATCCATCGCACCGGCAGTAGGCCTTTGGTGCCTTTCCTATAATAATCAGTCTCATAAATGTCTCTGGTCATGCCGAAGTCGCCCACTTTGACAGTGAGGTCGCCGGCGACCATGCAGTTGCGCGCCGCTAGGTCGCGATGCACAAACTTTTTAGCCGATAGGTAAGCCATACCGTCGGCTATTTCAATAGCCATCTGTGAAAGAATTTTTATTATATTAGTAACAAACAATAAAGTTTTTCTCCTTTTAGATTGGAAAAGGATAAAGGTGATACCTGGCACTAAATATTGTATCTTTTTAGTGAAATAAACTATTTCACTCATCAGTACCCTAAGCACGAACAACAAACGAGAGTGTATTCGTCATGTCAAATTTTGTATGGAAAAATCTAGTTTGTTCTTACGTCCGGAAACCCCTTCTGGTGTTGCCCCTGCTTAGTTTAGATAGACACTTTTACGTTGGCGATACGATTACGGAGATGTTAAAATTCATGCTTGGGCCTCTGAAGTGTCTAGGAATTAAGTACGTTGAACGGAGAAGCCCAGGATCGGCTAAAGCGGGTGCGGACCGGGCTGCTGGTCGGAGGCGGGGTGGTTTGACGTATGCCACGCTTACGTGAGCGCACGTCAAATTATACCCGCACTGACTAGCGGCCCTCGGGCTGCTCGCCGCTTGCCGAATGCACCACGCAATTACCTGCGTCGCGAGAGTTTCTTGACAGCAAACTAACGCGGCGTTGGTCATTGTCGTGGATATAATGCATTTTTTCTCCCCGTCATCGAAAAAAAAAAAAAGGTATTAAGTACGTAATACATGTAACGAACGACCCGCCGCCGTTACCTTGGCTCAGTTTTATTAAAATTAACAGATCCTGCAATTGCTCTTTACTTTTGATAAAAGATTAAGATAGGTTATACTAACTAATACAGGGTGTACCATAAGTCCTTTAAAATTTAAATTTCGAATAAAATTCAAATGGCGCGCTGGTATGGCGCTCAGGGTCTCCCACCCCGCAGTTGGAAGCACCAACGGTCTTTCGGAATTTAGTCGTAATGGATCTTTTCACTGGAGCGGACCATGCTTTTTGTTTGTGTCAGTTTTATCGCAACAATGATTACCATTGCGCGACGTAAATTTAGAGAGTATCGCAATTTACTCACGTTTAATGACTGTCCTAGTGATCAAAAGAATTAAGAATTGGGTTCAAAAGTTCGAGGAGATAAACTACGTTGGATAAACAATGATCGGACCGACCAAGGACATCACAGACGGAAGAAAACATCGACGTTGTGCAAGAGTCAGTTCGTGGAAATTCTACTCAATCCATTCGTAAGCGTTCCAGTGCATTAAAATACCCACCCAGATCAACGTTACAGCGCACTTTAAAGAATGGTAAGAAATTTCAATTTCAAGCATTTCAGAGCGTACTTGTCGTGCATTTAGATATATAGACATTTAGATGAAGTGATTTATAAAAAAAAACCATTTAATGTAAATTGCTAAACAATAAATAAACATTTCATATTGTATTATGGATGCTAAAGTATATTCTGTTTGTTTAAACCACTGAATCAATTATGCAGAATTTTGCTATAGAGGTAAATTGGATCCTTAAGACGGTTACAGGCTACTTTTAGCTGTGACACAAAACATGAAGAGGGTGAAATAGGAGATTAAATTTTGAGTGGGAATAAAATTAAACCACTCAATCGACGCGTGGACAACCGCGATGCAGAGGATTGGATTTGGTAAATTTCGATTGGCTAACATGCATTGCGAAAATTCTGCAGCGCGGTTTTGCGGGTCCGTTGCGCGGCACATCGGCCTCCGCGTCGGGGCGGAGCGTAAGTAAGTCTTCAAGTCACCCGGCTCCATTAACTACATCACTACAAGCGTGGGTGTGTGTCATATTACCTGCAGTATGTTCTGCAGAGTGGGCGGGTTGGCGGGCCCCTTGCGCGGCAGATCGACCTCCGCGTCGGGGTGGTGCGAGCGCAAGTAAGTCTTCAAGTCACCCAGCTCCATTAACTACATCACTACAAGCGCGGCTGTGCGTCATATTACCTGCAGTATATTCTGCAGAGTGGGTGGGTTGGCGGGCCCTTTGCGCGGCAGATCGACCTCCGCGTCGGGGCGGTGCGAGCGCAAGTAAGTCTTCAAGTCACCCAGCTCCATTAATTCCATCACTACGAGTGTGGGCTGCCCACGGGACACGACGCCCAGTAAGCGGACCACGTGGAACGTGTCGAACGCCTTCATCACTGAGGCCTCGTTCAGGAACTCGATACGCTCCCTTCGCGTAACAAATAAATATGATATACAGTCCAATACGTATTTTACGTTGCAGATGCACACTACCAATATTTTCGCCTTATTACAAAACGTAGGCTAAAGTTAAATCTGTCACTTTTGTTGGCTAAAAAGACAGAGACAGTGGTGTCGATTCTGACATGATTCTCAAAACCTAATCTTAAATTTGACAACAGTGTATCCTTGATATTCTCAATACAGAATAAAATGGAGAGAAATGTGTTAAATTTAGTTTTAAGTTTAGACAATCATGCCAGATCAACATAAGGTCTTGGTTTTAAACCAAGACTAACTTTAGTCCTCATGTTGGAATAAGGTGAATTAAGTTAGGATAATATGCTATTCTTTTTTTTTCAATGAAATTTTTGTTTCACTACGGGCAAGATTCAAAGTGCAATAATAGAAATTATCTAGAAATACTAATAAGTATCTTTACTTGAACGCCACGTCTAGCCATCTTTCACTGCACAAAAATTGCTGGAAAATCTGCAATCTTCCCACATAGCAAAATACCAATACGATTTACGCTGTGGCAATTCCTAAAGTATACTAATATTTCTATCTATCTAAAGACATCTATGTCAATAAATTCACTTTATGTTTACTGTATTTGATAGATTGTTAAACAACTGGTAATTTAAATATCTCACAGCCGCACTAAGAGACACCAACTAAATTTAATGCTTGTCCAAGTGACAACATCAGCTTTGATCCAACTTAAGAGCCCTTTTACAAAATTGCGCCGCTGCAGTTTAGGTAAAATACGGTAAAATACGCAGCGATGTTCAGTATAGTGCGCTTTACCAAATTGATACTTTAATATGCAATTAGTGGATTATACTATAAGTGCAAATATAAAAGAAATTTAATTTGAGGTGCTAAGATGGATCCCTACTGTAGCGACAAAGGATTCTAGATAGGAATCCTGAGTGGAGCAAAGGATACAAGGATAAAGTTTTTTTACTATTGTGAGAAAATAAATAAGATATTTATTAAACCCATTGGTTGTGTTTTGGAAGGACAATAAAGATTAATTCTGATTATTACTAATTATTGTAACTTAGTGTATGATTTGCATAACTTCTGTTTATTCTACTTTATTTTTTTTTATGCACTCGGTAATTAAATGAAAATTTTTTTCACTGTTATCGCTGAATGAAATCCCTTTTTCGAGCGGTAATGAGAAATAATATTTTATTTACTTGTGCTTTTTAGTATAATAAAATATCTCAGTCAAAACTGTACTAATTCTTGTTTTATCTTTGCCTTCGTAGTTCATTTAATAAAAAGTTTTCTCACTCTGTACTTGGAATATTTCTGTAAGAGTTTTTGATAAAAAATTAAAAACATGTTTTTTGTATTCGTGTAATTCCCATGCATTTATACAAAACCCATCAAAAGTATTTAACTTTCATAGGTACTCATCGCTTACACACCTAACTCATGAAATTTTTGCAGCGAGTTCGCGTATGGAAATATCAGCAGCATTGTTCCCCTATATAATTAAATATATTATTTTAATTTCAAATTCTCTTTTCATTGTCAACTTCCATGAACAATATAAAAAACTTACAGTTCCCTATACAATCGAATCCATTGAACTTATGGTCGGTATAGTAGTTTCACTATTTTCGGTCGCGGCAATTTTCTCTGCGGGGTTGGCATTAGAATTTTTATTCCATCTAAAATAAATTGAGCTGAGAATTTCTATTCTAAATATATTATTATGTTGGGCTAATATTTACTTTAGCGGCCTATGAACTTATACTTGTTATACTTGATTATAATGAAAATTTTACCGTACTCTATCTTTTTTACAGATATTAGTATAGATTGTAAGAAGCTTAAGTTTAAATCGGGGAATGTAGGGTGGTCACAACTGGCCGCTTTATTGGAAAACGAGTTTATATCTCTTAAATTATTGACTTTACGGAAAAATATGAAGAGTACTTTTTTATTTATTGCTAAATTTTTTAACTTCTTTGTGTAAAACTTTTTATTGTAACTCTTAGCACTTTTTAATTATTGTTGTTTATTAGAACATGTTTGTAGTTTGCCTTTATAAAACCTTAAAAATGTCATAAATAGATAAAAAACGTCTTATAAAAGTTATTCTTGATTAAATTCCCTACAACTTTTGTATAAAACTTTTTTTTATTAAATAAATACTTTTTAAGTTATGAGTCGTTATTGTGGCGCAAAAATGGGAATTGAAGTTACAGAAGTATCCGAAAAACTCACTTTCTTTCAAACAAGTTGAAGCTGATAATGATTTGTGTTGGATTGTTATTGATTAATTGCAAAAAAAGTAATTAAAAAATTTTGATACTAATATATAAACACTATTAAATATTATATGATATTAGTGATGAAAATCAATTGCACGTGTACAAAACTCTGATATACTGCGTCATTGCTACGTAAACGACGCACAACTTTAAAAGTATTTATTGAATAAAAAAAAGATTTAAACAATTGTTGTAGGAAATAAAATGACGAAATTTGACTTTTCTAAGATGTTTTTTATTAATTAATGGCATTTTAAAGGTTTTATAATGGAAAAACCATAATTCCATGTTTAAATAAACAACAATAATTGAAAAACTGTAAGAGGTATAAAAAAATATATAAGACATAACGTTAGGAAATTTAGTAATAAAAAAAAAGCGTAGTACATTTTTTTCCGTAAAGTCAATCATTTCGAAGATATAGCGAAAGATGTTTCCGAATATGGCGGCCAGTTGTGGCCACCCTACATTCCCCCGATTTTTAAACTTAAGCTTCTTACGACCTACCCTTAAATCTGTAAAAAAGCTAGAGTGTGGTAAAATTTTGTTATTTGGCTTTCCTCTGTTGCTTGGGCTATACAGAGTAAGCCGAGCGAGCGAAGTGGTAAAGCTCGTTTTCTTTTTCTGAAAGTTCCTTCATTGGATAAAAGGTACTTAAAAGTTTAAGTTTTTGTCGATTCCTAACCTCAAATTTGAATCTTCAATATCCCTGAAAGTATGCGTTTGCTTTGCTGGGAATGGGTTTTGGCTGAAAGGAGAAGTCCCCCAACCCCAAGCCCGTAAAGTGGTTGGCCACTTTTTAGTACCTACTTATTCAGGAAAATAGTACCTTGACGGTCTACAATTATATACCTAAAATAGGTAAGATACTTTAAAATTCCGGACAAATTACCATTTTCGTACAATCAAAACCCATGGAAACCACAAAAATAAAAAGCCATATGTTATAAGCATTTTCATTCACTTTGCTTCACAAGTTTTCCTTATGGCTGCATCATTGTTTCATTCATTTTTCACACAAGGGTAAGCAGAAGTTTTACGCCCCAAAATAATAGCTGCTAATAGCTTATAACAAAAATATTAGTTGAAGCAACGATAATTATAACTAGGTAGGTACTTATAATAATAAAAATTAATACGGTTGTGGAAACTAACATACAGTCAACGATCAAACTTTTGCAGTCGTAGTATATCCAGTCAAGTTTTACGATGAATGCACTCGTAGCATCGCTCGGGACGCGTGCGGCACAAACTGACACAGGTCCGACCTTTAAAGGCGCTGGCGCCGTACTGAACGGCACGTAGATATGCACTAGTATAAATTGCATTTTACGGGAGATGTTTCAAGTCTTATAAAATAATTATTAATGAATTAATAATTATAAAAAAATATACATATTTCAGTAGTTCAATGATTGTAGATTAATTTTATGAAAGTTTTTGATAGCAATTCTATTTAATTCAATATCAAAATACGAGGTAAACCTGCGTTATTTTTTGGGAAAACTCACGGAGGTTAGATGTTTTTTTAATAATTAATGAGATGGAAAATCAAGATTCTAAGATTATGTTTCAACAATAACATATTTCTGATGTTGTTGATCTAATTTATTGAACATTATTGAGAGATTGAGGCGTTTGAACTTGTGCATATTATCGTTTTTTCCGTAATGTAGCTGCGGTAGAACGATCAGTATAAAAAAAGGAAAATAGTATTTGCAAACATTCTACATTAATTTTCAATAGGAAGAATAAATCTACTGTTTACTTCTATTGGAAATAGTCTGAATCTCTTCTAAGGGGGTAAACAAGGCGCTCGTGCGATTTATTGCAAAAAATGCGAAAGGGCTCTTAATAATTGATAGTCTGTAGGTGCGGCCGTAGTTCTAAGGCTCTCTTCTCTTACCTGTCAGTGGCATGTTCATTGACAGTTTTCACAGCGCACCGAGTTTCTGGTTTGCCTTTTTCAATGCTCTTCGCAATACCCTCATACACCTGTATAACAATAACAAATAATAAAGACACAATTATATGCAATTTCTGTTTTAGGAAATAATTGTATTTTTTGTCCAGGAATCTTAGATTAAAACAAAAAGGGAAGACAAGGCACTCGCAGCTCAAAAGTGCACCGCTTAAATTGTGGTGCATGACCAAAATTTGCTTTACCAAATATCCCGGGGGTCAGATGGAATCTCTAGTAAGGTCACTAAGATCTTACCCGCCAACTTCTTTGCCTTATCACCGCAATCTTTAACGCGACTATGAAAAACGCGATATTTCCTGCAGAGTAGAAAGAGGCCGTCGTTATCGGGTTCCGGAAGCACGGTAAGGACAGCGCCTTACCTTCTAGCTACCGCCGCCCTAATAAGTCTCCTCAAAGCGCTGGCGAAACTTTACGAACGCGCCCTCGCTAGCCGCCTTAAAGATTTTCTTTTCGCGAACAATCTTATTATGAACGAACAGTTTGGTTTCCGGCCCAAGCAGTCGTGTGTCCACCAGATGCACCGCTTAACGGAGCACGCCCGCCACTACCGCGATCTTTTCTTAACGTGGCGAAAACATTCGACAAAGTCTGGCATAATGGCTTAATTTATAAGCTATACAAACTCGGACGGACAGACTCGTGCTCATCATACGGGACTATTGTCGAATCGCTCGATTCGCTATTGCGTCGAAGGAATGCTCTCCTCGCCTCGCCCTATACGCGCCGGCGTCCCTCAGGGCTCGCCACTCTCGCCCATCCTCTATTTGGTCTTTACGAATAACATGCCCAAGACTAGTAAGGTCGATCTCGCGCTTTTCGCCGACGGCGGTGTGCCCTCTATACCTCCGATATATGTTTCGGAACAGTCTGTAATAGACTTCAATCAGCCTCTACCACCCTTGGTGATTGGTTCCGTAGATAGCGTATCGAGGTTAATCCGGAAAAAAGCATCGCGATCCTCTTAAGCACGACACTGCCTCTCACGCGTTCTCTTCCGAGTATCCAATTATTTTACCGGATCATCATCTGAGAGGACTGGGTCAAATACTTGGGGGTCACGTTAGATAACCGATTGACGTATTCACCTCATCTCAAGATAGTTCGTGATCGCGTAGCATTCATTCGCGGCAGGCTATTCCAACTCATAGGGAAGCGTAGTAAAATGTCACTTAAGCATAAGTTGAAAAAAAAACTTGCATACGCCCTATCATGACCTACGAGAGTGTTTGCTTCGCCCACGTACCTCCGTCGCGTCTTAAACCACAACAAATGCTGCAAAATCTTGTGTTGCGGTTGCCCGTGGTACGTGCGCAACATCGATTTGCATTGCGATCACAAGTTACACTCCATCGCGAAGTATGGACTAGACTTTTTTGATGTGTGAAATTAGGAGGAAACACTCACCATGCCGAAGGATCCTTGCCCCAGTTCCCGGACAAACTGTATGTTGTTGCGGGGCACTTCCCACTCGTCGGGCACGTACACCGTGGGAACGTACTCCGGGTTGACGGACGCGATCAGCTTGTTAGCCTCAGCCGGGGACAGAACCCCGCGCCTTGCGTACCAAACCCCGCCGCCGGCCACTAGCGCCATACATAGGCATCCGCCCACAAGGCCCCATACCCATTCGTAGCCGGACTCGAGGGTGCGCTCCTATAGGAACAATACAACGTTACAGTAAGTAAATTAAGAGAGGTAGGGCATAGCGGATTTCCCGCTCGAATTGGAGCGCTCTTCACCTTACAGAAGATCACAGAAAAATAACACTTTTGGTGAGTTAGGTTCCAGACGCGAGTGATAGCTTTAGTATCGCAAGTGTATATAAGCTATGGTGGCCGCTTACCATCAGGCGGACCATACACTTGTTTGCCACCCTTTGGCACCCGCCTACTAGCCCCCACACCCACTTGTAATCGGAATCAAGGGTGCTATAGGACCAATACAACGTTACATTATCCTAGTATAGTACTAAGTTACACAGACAACCGCCATCATAATGTGTTACATGGTACGATTGTATATATTGCCACAAACAATCTACAAACAATATCGAGAACGTCGCGGCTATCGCTCGATGTACTCACGATGAAGTATCTAAATACTAAGACCGAGTGTATAATAGCTGCCAACTTGTTTACAATTCAGGTTTGTTACCCGCGTGTAGGTACTAGGAGATACAAGGGGACTATCAATGAAAATGGATTTTTCTAGAATGCCACAATTAGCGTATATAAGGGAGCTTAGCTCCAAAGACAGTTAAATTTCAAAGTGACTTCGGAACGATTACAAAGTCGGTATTTGTATAGTCCTTTTACAATCGTACACGAACACTTAACTTGCTTACACACAAGGACTTATACAGTGTACAGTAAATGTAATGTGATTAATATTGCGTAAAAATTTATCGAACGTGAACTGCCATTATAATTTCGATCCCCACCCCGACAATATGAATCGAACGCTTATTTCTAAATATGCATATTTGCATAGGTTTAGCCAGTACGCAATGTTTTCCAATAAGTTCCTGTTTTACTACGCGAAAAGTTGAAACTGTAATAAAATGAATTATTTGGTATTAATAATGTAAGGAGGTTCGATTTTCACATATCCAAGCCTGCCGGTTTAAACTGTTGTCCTAAAACAATATTGAAGATGAGAGAAAAGAGAAAGTCAGTCCATAGTTAAAAGTCGTGTAGATAGTAGAATGTAATTAAAATTCAATTATCAAAAAATTAGAATGAAAATATGTGATTACTTACCGGTATATATATGTATATATCGGAGGCGTTCCCAGCGCCGCTAACGGTGATAGGTGTAACGCGGACGCTGTAGTTTCCGGCATGCAAGTTACGAAGCATATATGATCGTCCGTTGCTTTCGTAGTCGTCCGCCATGAGACAAGTTTGCAACACCACATCTTGAGCCTATTGTGTCATACAAAAGACAACTTTTAGTTCTTTTGTCTTCACGCACACCAATCATTGAAAAAACATTTTTTGAACGAGTATAAAGCGCGTTTTTTTATCGTCAAGAATAATTTAAAAATAAATAAATACGACCCACAACAATACGATACTCATAATACGGACCCAGATAATATGGAAAGGATAACGGATTTTTGAAGGCAAAGACTCATCAGTAAGTTTTCTTTTAGTTATATTCAGAGTACGAAAAAAACCGATAATTCTGCTGTTGTAAGCGTACAGGCTACGATAGACGTTTAACATTAGCGCAAAAAAGAGACACAAACCGGTGATTTTCACTCAATACTTTACCGTCAGTGCATTGCAGTAACACTGACCTGATTGGAGTCTTCTATCGGCGTATAATGAACGTTGTATGCAACGACGAACCCATTCGGATTTTTCGGCGGTTCCCAAGTCACGTTTACGTCCGGCAACGTTTTGTTGGATGCTAACACTTCTGCTTGCAGATGCGTCACAACGTCCGCGTTGGCTACAGGCAAAAATAAAAATGTTAGTTTGAGAACACCGAAATGCCAATGTAAAATTTTGGAGCTACATTCGAAAATATAAGCAAAGAGTTATTTATCCTCGCCAGGTGGCACTACTTCCCAACTTAAATTATCTTTTATTCTTCTATTCTATATTCTTAGTCCAAATGTACATTACAAAACATTTTAAACTATGAATACTTACTGAGTTCCAGCGTTCGGAATATGTTGAATGCGCGCTTCGAGCACCACTGGTCTGAGTACGCTTGATCTTTTTCGTTCTGTTCGCGCTTCCGACACGCCCAAACGTTGACCGTGTACCATGTGAAGTGACGCATATCCCGTACAGTTAGCGATGTGTTGTTACTGGGCAGCTCATAATACAGGGACTGCACATAGCCTGCGAAAAACGTCAATTATGATTGTGGATGTCGTTAAAAGTTTCTTTTGCAGGCAAACGAGATGGCAGTTCACCTAAAGTGGTCACATACCCTGCATATCTTCTGATAAAATTAAATAGGTAATAATTATAATCAGGACGGAGCTACTGCTTTGGTTATACGACAACCCATTAGATAAACAGAGTACATTAAACTAAAATCTAAATCTGCCGCGCAAATACGGTTTACATTAAGAACAGGAATCAATATCATACTTTTGTCTTAAAAAGAAGGATGTTTAAAATTCTAGCAGTACTAAACCAACTTTCAGTTATCTTCTTTCCAAGTAATGCCAGTTCAGACTTTATCATCAACGTCTTTCAGTTATATCAAGTAAATTTATTTAATGATCAATAAAGGAGATGATCCAAAATGTATTGAGCCTGGACCATGTACACTATACCAAATAATACTCGAAAAACAGTTTGTTATCATTCAATTTCCCTTAAACATCTTTTTTGATAGGAATCATAAATTAAAATACAAATCACATTGCATACGAACGCAATTGTAAAGCTTGGCTTTTTTCTTAGGGTTACTAAATTTCTCTTCTGAGGGACAAATTGGGGCATCTCCTTTTAAAAAATATTCAATGACTGTAGTCATTATTAGTTGGCAAAAACAAGGATCGAGGTGATAAGAGACAGTTAACAATAGGTCAATTTATCCAAAGCTGACAAATTTTACCAAATAACATTTAGCTTTATTTAACTTGTTAAAAGATCGACAATCGATTGACATTACGTTTCGTTGTAACTTAACGTATTGTCGACTGTACAATAAAACAGCAAATTAACTATACATCTTGTCGAAAAATAAAACTTTTGTTTCCTAATATTTCCTTTGATTAAAAACCTTATTATATGATATAATTAAATATTTAATATGATTCAATATTTAAATACAAGATACTACTGAGTAAAATTATGACATGCGAGTTTCAAATCAATCAGCCAGATGAGCGCAGCAATATTGTGAATGCCTAACAATACTCTACAAAAACTTCATGCAAATCAAATATGACAATTCTACTTAGCGAGTAAACCATGCTTCGATCGCTTCGCTCATCCAGTACAAAAGAAAATCGATGCTAACGTGGAATCGGTTCGTTCATCCGTGATGATAGTGCATGCAGCAACCTGATACCCGTGACATAAAACAAATATTTCTGTGGTTGTAACCTGTTGTATTCTCCTTTACGACGCAAACATTGGGCTCGACGTGACTGCATTCGACGGCTGAAACGAGAATGTCGATATGGACGTGATGAGGTTTGTGTACGAATAGAAGCATGACAGAAATGAAGAACAAGCATAGAGAGAAGGTATGCTTCAAGGTTGCGTTAATGGCCATTATGATTACAGTGATGCGAATGGATACAATTTTAAATGAGCTTGTGGATTACGCGCACAACTTTTCTTTCTACACTGTACGTAATGTTAAGTGGGAAGCATAAGAAAGAGACGATGTTTACGGAATCCGCAAGGTTGTGACAGGGATGGGAGATGCTTACCGTCTCTGTCTGTGGTGTTGGTGTAGTTGTACCCGAGCACGGGGTCAGAGTTCTCCGTCAGTATGACGAGCATGCTATTCAGTGTGAAGTCAATCGATCGACGCGCTCGCACGTTACCAGCATTTTCAGCGAATTTCTCGCGGTTAGATCTTTCAGTTTTTATGTATACCTGGGGAGGAAACATGTATCTTTAAAATATTTCAAAAACAATACGATCCAAGGTTAAACGGTGAGCGAAATATTAATAAAATACACCAGCTTCTAGTAAATATGATACATATTGGTAACAATTTGACGACCTCCGTGGCCGAGTAGTTTGTATGCCGGGTTTCATGGTGTCGCCGACTCGAGAGGTCCCGGGTTCGAATCCCGGTGGGGGGCAGATGTTTGTGTGATGAATACGAGCATTTGTACTCCAGTCATGGATATTTAATATGTATTTCTATATAAATATACCTATCTATGTGTACTGTTGTATGTATTCTTTCCGTTACCCTTAGTATCCCATAACACAAGCCTTATAGTGCTTAATTGGTGTGAGCCAATTAGCCTAGCCCCAATTGTTGTTGGAAATATGTATTTTATTTATTATTTTTTATTTATTTTGTTGTAGGCAATAGGAGCAATCTTCCAGATGCACTAAACAAATCAACAACAAACAGCACAACAAAGAAAAAACGACGGATTGCACTCCGGGAGTGCCGGCAGAAGTGAAAACTTGAATATGAATGTTGTGCATTTTTAATATTTTGGAATGGTTAGGGAATAATTTTGCACGAATTGTTTTAATTATCAGTATAAAAGTACTATCATTTATGTGGTAAAATACAATATTTATTTATTGCGCTATCGTACACAAACATGACAATTTATATTACATTAAAAAGTTTATCTCTCAGAAAAATCAACTAACATGAATCACATTTAAGCGCACCTAGCGACATCTATTGTAAAAAAAAAAGGATTTTCTCCGCAATAAAGCTGCCACCTGGACGTCCTGATTAGAGACTTATTATTAAAATATGATAAAATAAAAGATTACTATGTTTCGTCCAATATATTGAAAGTCAACAACCTTTCCAATTTTATTGTTGTCGTCTTACGAATTTTCGATTAGGTCACGTATCCGGACGCGATCAGGCCACGTGTCCTGATGTGAGTTTAACAATTTTTACCCATTACAAAAAAAGTGTACAACGCCGCTAAAGAAGTTTCTTCAAATATCGGAGATTATTACTAAGGCAGAGCTATTTCCAGGTTTAGCTGACGTACTGCAAACGAATCGCGTCGATTAGAAATCACTAAAGGAGACGGTTTAAAATCGTATGGAGGCTGGGAGTGTGCCTCCGGCAGACTCCAATTTTTTATGACATATAGTGCACAAATTGTAAGACGTTTGACAAAAAACTAGAATTTATTATATACCTTTTTATAATTATTATTTTTAATTACATAATTATTGATTGGCAAATGGCAAGCGTGTGTATCTACTGTTTGTTGCCATAGCGTCTGTAGCATCCGCAACACACACAAAATAAAAAACGATTGGTGGCTTTCTGCTACACCTGGGTCAGACTAATTCATCGCGATGGTCACATATACACTTATTAGTGTCAACTTTGTGTAAATAATTTTAACACTTATGTATTATTGGACGATCTGTGTTTACGGAGTAATTGTTTGACGATTTCTTGTCTCCTCAAAAATTTTGTGTAAGTATTATACTATAAATTTATTCCGTACGTAAAGAAAGTTAATAATTTGACCTTCAGATAAATAGCATACACAAAGTTGACGTCATCGAACCAAGCGTTTTGGCGGTAAATTCCAAACCATTAAAAATAAATTCAACTTTAATTGGTTTAATGGAGAAAAAAAGGCATTATTTAATTTATTTTTATTTTTCTGTTCAATCGTTTGTCCCAATCTTTAAATAAAAACAGTTTTCAAAAATTTGGATAATACCCTATTGCTAATCTTCGATTCGATCAAAACACGATTAAAAAACTAATCGGAGACAATTAAAAAAATCGCTGCCGGAAACCGACTACCACTTTTCTTAAATATATTCTCACTTATATTTTGTTGCTATTATGTGGATATCACGATACTTACCCCATTCTGTAGTTCGTTTTCAAAGTTGATAGTCTCGTCCCGTTCCTCTTCCGCGCGGGATGTGAACATGGTGCCGGCCCGAGAATCGTCCTTACAAGAGCACGATCCGTTCTTCACGTCACCAGTGGTTTTAGCCTCTTCCTTCTCCGGGGACATTTCGCCGCGACCAGCGATAATGTTAGCCAGCGCATTGGCTGTAGGAATATTTTAGACATTAAATAGATATATCAATTCATATCTTAAATGAAACAATAAAACTAACTAGTTTTAACGGGTTAATGCACGAAACTTTATTTATTTATTGACGTTTCGCAGCCTTTTCAGGTCTGTTTCATCAGAATGATTTTTTATCGAACGAAGCAGAACTGAAAAGGCTGCGAAACGTCAATAAATAAATAAAGTTTCGTGCATTAACCCGTTAAAACTAGTTTTATTTAATAAGTGATGTGCGTTAAAACCTAAGAAACAAATATTAAATGAAACAAGTTTTATTAATCATTTTCAATCGGATATTTCATCTAAAGTGGCCGTATAAAACTTTCAAAATCGCTATTTTTCACAAAATTAATCCCTTTTCCTTGGTCACGCCACCGTAACTCGAGAACGCAATGATAAAAATAATAAATCATAACTTAACCGAATTCAGTTATCTTTTTTTTTGAGATTTTTAAAACATTGTTGAAAGAGCTTAGGGAAAAAAAGAGTTAAGAAAGTTACGCAAAACTAAAGTTGGAATGGAGACGAAGTGCGTGTGCAAGCTGGTAGAGGATAAAAATGATTATAATAGGGTATTTGACAGTATTAAAAATAAAGTGCCAATTGTTGGCATCTGTATTTAGAATGAACATTCACATACATACTTTTACTATATTTAAAAAAAAAATCATAATTATAATAATAACCCACGAAAAAGATAATAGTTTTTTCTCTATTGTCGCATAATCGAAAACGCCTGGTATTGGCAGAGCCGATGTTGAGCAGAGTTGTACCGATGGACGTTTAAATGAGGGCCGTGTGACGTCACACACAAGTAACACCCTGAGAAATGTTTTCATCTGGAAGCAGAATTTTTCAATTTAGTTTTATTAGTGAAATACTTAAATAACCACTTTTTTCTGGAATCCATATACATTAATAAATAACATAAGATCGATTTCTAAAAGTTGTCAAATACCCTATTATAATTGCCGCAGTAGTTGTCACTCCAGGCGAGAATCTTGGGACGGTTGTAGATATTGACCTGGATCTTCACGTGGTACGCCACGATGGCGCAAAGAATTAAAAAAGTTGCATAAAACTAAAGTTAATGGGGACGAAGTCGCGAGCGGAAGGTAGTAGAGGATAGAAATGTTTATAATTACGATTGCAGCAGTAGTTGTTCCTCAAACCGAGAATCTCGGGGCGTTTGCAGCTATTGGCCTGTATTTTCACATGGTAGGCCACGATGGCGCAAAGAATTAAGAAAGTCGCGGAAACTGAAGTTAACGGGGAGGAAGTCGCGGGCGGAAGGTAGTAGAGGATAGAAAGCCGTGAGCGGAAGACACTAGAGGATAGAAATGTTCATAATTACGATTGCCGCAGTAGTTGTTCCTCCAGGCTAGAATCTTGGGGAGGTTGTAGCTATTGGCCTGTATCTTCACGTGGTATGCCACGATGGTGCAAACAATTAAGAAAGTCGCGCGAAGCTAAAATTAACAAGGGGAAGACGCGGGCGGAAGGTAGTAGGGGATAGAAAGCCGTGAGCGGAAGACACTAGAGCATAGAAATGTTCATAATTACGATTGCCGCAGTAATTGTTCCTCCAGGCTAGAATCTTGGGGAGGTTGTAGCTATTGGCCTGGATCTTCACGTGGTACGCCACGATGGTGCCGTTGGGCATCACCGGCGGGGACCACTTGATCTTCACCGAATGCGGCCCGGTGGACTCCACTACCAAGCCCGCTGGTGGACTCGGCCCTGATGCAAATCACCAACAACTTTACTAGAATATCCACAGTAGAAAAGCCATCTCGCTCAGTCAATCTGGCTGAAAATGAGTTAAGTATATCATTGATATCAGCTTTTTTTCCTATGTTGGTCTGTTTATGTTTAAAGAGTATTTTATATTTCTCTAAATGGGAATTGATCTAGTACCTTGGTATATCAAAATAGTAAAGGGAAAAAATATTGTGAATTATTTTCTTGTTTTTATTCAGAAAGAAATGACCAAAAATTTACTATCTCTAGCTCTTCCGTGCTTCGGAAGGCACGTTAAACCGTTGGTCCCGGCTGCATTTGCAGTCGTTAGCACTCACCAATCCACACTGATGGGTCGATGGGTGACCAGGCCATGACCCATCACATCCCACATCCGTGTGGATGTGGGATGTGGTGAGTCATGGCCCAATCTCCCTAACCCTTCCATAGGGAAGACCTGTGCCCTAGCAATGAGAACATTAATAGGCTGATAATGAAAGAAAAGAAACACATCATTATTAACCATTACATAGAATCAAAAGTAGTAAAACTCACGGCCCGGCAAAGTTCTGAAGTAGATTATAGGGCTTTGCGCGCCCATCTTATCTTGCTGCGTAGTGTAAGTCTTCACGTACGCGGCGTATCGCGTGTACGGTATTAGCGGCCGGATTATCTTGAACTGCGGCTGGTTCTGCAGGTTGCATACGTCCGTTATCAAAGTATGGTCTTCGCTCGAGGAGTTGTTGTGGCTGCGCGCTTCGTCTATCGTCACATCTAGTACGTTCCAACTGTAAAGAAAGAACAAATTTTAATAAAATCAAATTCTAATTTTAATATAAGATTAAGATAAGATTCCCAGTGCAGTTGTATGAGGAGAACAAAGATTCGTGGTTTTCAGGAATTTCTACCGCTATTAGAGTTTGGAGTGCTGCCGAAGGAGCATAACAATGCTAAACTAAAAGATATTCTATTGTGTCACAGCATTCTAAAAATGGGTTTCGTAACAAATTTTACATTTTAAGTCAATTAAGTTACGTGGTAGACAGGTAACAATTTACCCTAGGCAGGCCTCGAGGGGCTGATCAGTGGACTGTACAAGTCGCGGCACGTAACTCTAGCGGTCAACAAAACGCGTCAGGGATATCTGCGTATGGGTACGACTGGAGAGTTAATTGGCGTAACCCCACGACAACGGCCAACTGAGCCGAGGTCCAAGTCTCAGAGACGCCCTCTAGTTGAGCCGACCCCTCAGGTTCGAGTGGTCTAGATGCTTCAGACGGAGAGGAGACTCCCTTCCGTGGGGAGATGCCATCCGCCTGGAATAACTCTAGAGGCACTCGCCAATTCTCGGCTTGAGGTCTCCTAAGGATCTCGTCGTCCAAACCCGGTGATGCTGTAAAGGTCATCAGCGACCAACAGTATACACACTCAAAAAAAACGACGCAACACACGCCCGCCCGCGCACCTCGATACCCCCCAAGACATCTTAATTTTTACTTCTGCGCAATAACGGCCAGCGCTAATTTCGTGTCGCGACTTAAAGTAAGCGCTCATATTATTATTAAATACTGTAAATAGTGAATAAGTTCAATTATGGCTGTTGAAACATCCAAATATTGGTACATTCATTATTATTAATTTTTGAATTATTTAATTAATAATATTTTTAACTAAAGGCTCCGAGGTTAAGTTTGTGGCCGGATTACTCTGCCACGCATTTTTTTTTTTTAAACACCAATTAGCCTAGCCCCAAAGTAAGCACTGTAAGGCTTGCGTTATGAGATACTAGGGTGGTACACATATTTTGTACATATATAAGTATCTTTATATAGAAATACATATTAAACATCTCGTATTTATCACACAAACATCTGCCCCCACTGGGATTCGAACCCAGGACCTCTCGAGTCGGCGACACCATGAAACCCGGTACAAACCACTCGGCCACGTAGTTCGTAAAATTTCAGTAGGACCGTGTCGTTGATTATATGATTGAGTATATACTGACGAGTCAGAGCAAGCGTCCCGCTGCCCGTAGAGCGTGACGTTCTGCTCTGCGATGATGTAGTACACCGAGTAGCCCAGCAGCTTGCGTATATCCGCCACGCAGTACGTGTCCCATTTCAGTAGCGCCGTGTCGTAGCGAAGCAGTTGCACCGTCAGCTGCAAGTTCTTCGGGGAACCTGAAAGATAGATTAACATTATAAATATGAAAATGTGTCTCTCTTTTCATCTTTCTGTCTGTTATCTTTTAACGCTTATACTACGATTTCGATTAAGGGAGATATTATTATTTGGGCTAAAAATTAAATTTAATAATACAAAAGATGTATATTTATGTACTTTCATAAAAATAATAACCTTTCTGTTCACTGCCTTTGGTATAGAGATAGTTCTGGAACTATCTCTATACCAAAGGATATGTTAAATTTTTGAAAAGGGAAAAGACATAGGATGGTTTTTTCCCACATATCATTCTAAGAGGAGGAGAAAGGCGGGGTGGAAGTTTGTATGAGAAACCAATTTCAAAATCGCGGGCACCCCCTAGTTAATAGTATTAGAAAATTATTGCTTCGACTCACATGACGCTTGATCACCGTTGTTGTCTTCGGACACCTCGATTTCCGTGAAGTTGGAGCGCGGGTTGTGCGTCATCTTCTTCAGCGGCAGTATTTGGAAGTAGCACAGCTTCGGGTTCAAATGTATGTAGAGAGTGCCACCGGTGATGTTCAGCTCGCCAAACGTTGACCAGTCCCACAGTATCTCCAAGTTTGGATTGTTAAATACGTGCAGCGCTTGACCCCTTTGAACAAGATTCATAAACATATATGTAAAGAAAAGATATTTAAAACAAATCCGGATTGATAATCCTACTAATATAATAAATGTGAAAGTTTGTATTAGTCTAAGATCCGAACTAAAAACGATCTTCACCGAGCTGATAATAAAATGAATCATATTTTATAACAAATTTAGTATGTTAGAAAATATGTTTAGACTCTTGAACTATTTAAATAAAAATGAAATATTATCAAGTTCTCAGTACGGTTTCAGACGGGGAATATCAACGGAGAATGCAGTCATAGATTTAGTGACTCATATTACAGCTTATGTTGATAAAGGGGAGAAATGTCTAGCTGTATTCCTAGACCTCAAAAAGGCCTTCGATACTGTTTCTGTACCTATATTAATAAAAAAGCTTGAAGACATTGGTATTAGGGGTACTGCTCTCTCTTTGTTTGAAAGTTATCTCTCAGAAAGAAAACAAGCTTTTAATATCGACAATTTAAATATAGGGTTTGCGAATTTTGAAGATTATAATTTTAACGCGAGTGGAAATGTGTGACAGAGAGATCCGAATTGAGTATAGCGTGTAATAATAAAGAACACAACATGGCACAACTGACATTTAAGTTGTAAATAATAATAATTATAATAATATTATAATACTAAAATATTAAACAATAAAACCTCAATTAAATAAATATTTATACAAGTTTTTGTAACTCAAAATATAATGACGTAAATAATACAAATATCAATACTTTGAATTTTTTTTTCTCTTTCTGGAAAAAATTATGAGAAACAAAGTGGACAGCCGAAAATTCAAATTCATGGATAAAAAAAAGATAGACTAAAAATCTTGTATTACGTTTGAAAAATTTATTAAAAAACAGCATAAATACAAAAATAATATCAATAAAAAATAAATTATAACAAATATTTTCTATTCTATATCTGATTCATCAGAAGTATAATTTTGATTCTCGAATTCATCTGACTCATTATTAGTTTCTTCCTCAATTTCTTCCATTTCGACAATGTCCTGGATTTTCAAAGGAGTTTGATCTCCGATAAAACCAGTTGGTTTTAAAAAATCATCTAAATGCCAACCGTAGCTTTCGGGGTTTAATTTCGCACATATAATTGTTAAAATTAAAATCTTCAAAATTCGCAAACCCCTATTAGGACCAAGCTTTTTGCAGACAACCCTATATCACCGTGTTCGCAATAAAACAACGCTCATATTGATATAATTTTTTTTCGATTATCTAATCGAGTGAAGGTAACTGGCATCGACATACCTGTTCGACAACCGAGTAGTTTGTCCAGGTAAATAATAGGCAACCCAACGGCTGCACATTCTATACGTTTCATACTTTAAGTCAGGGTAAAAATTTTCTTATTATCTTGATGTTGCAAAAATAAAAAATAAATCATTTTTTTAATAATTAAAAATTGTCTGTCCAGGATTATTTTAGGCAACCCATTTTCAACATGAAAATGAAAAATGAAAATGGTTTTTATTTCCCAAAGAGTCAGAATACAGTACAAGTTGAGACAACCCAGAAAGTAATAATTAATACTTGTGTTGGGATGCCTCGCTCTTAGCCTAGTGTAGTTAACAAATTTTGGGCACATAACAAGTAATTTCTAAAATATCAGGTGTATTTGTATAAGTGCGTGTGTGTGTGTGTGTCTGTGTGAGATGGAGAATAAGTGCGTGAATGTGTGTACAGTTGTATATATATTTAATTTCCAGTGCGACCATTATGTTATTCTTTTTAAAATTAATTCCGTGTCTTCATAGTTAAGTGTTTTCAGCCAATTAACTAGAGTTGTTTTACATTTATATGACAACATAGGATACATGTTGTGTTGTAATTTTTTGTTTATAGTATTATAAATGAAAATACTTTGAGAGGGATATTGACGTCTACCAAAATCAGTGCGAGTTGGAAGGGAACGAAACACAATATCTTTACGTCTTCTGTCTAATTTTGAAGGATCATATTTTAATGTCTTATGTAATGCCAGGGTAGTGCTTAATAAATACAGCTGCCGGATAGATAAAAGATTACAATCTGTATGATTGTCTGTGGGGTATCTGTAAGGTTTGAAATACATTACCTTGAGGAGTGATCTTTGAGCCCTTTCAAGATCAAGTAATTTATATTTTGAACTTCCTCCCCACACAGGAATACAGTACGTTATCACAGGCTGAACTAACGCAACATAGATTTTGTTCAGAAGTTGACTAGACATGACATATCGCAATGTTTTAAATATCCAGGTAAGTTTCCTGACTCGGGCGATAACCAATTCAATATGTGAATGCCATGATAGTCTTTGATCCAATATAATTCCAAGGTATTTGGTGCTGATTACTTTTGAAATACTGGTACAGTTTTCGGTGGATGGATGGTTTTTGCTACTGTGAATTTTAATTTGAAAATCATCAGCCGGTTGAGATCTTTGACTTGGGGTAAAACATATATAATTTGTTTTTGTCGTATTAAGTGTCAGAAGATTTGTGCTAAGCCAATTTGACACTTCAGCCAAAGCTAGTTCAGCAACGGTTTGTACTGCCTCCCAGGAATGACCAGAAAATACAAGTGCAGTATCATCCGCGTAACAGAAAATTCGTACTTCACTAATTCGAAGCTTACACAGGTCGTTAATGTAAACTAAGAACAGTGAAGGGCCTAGTACACTGCCTTGTAGAACTCCGTATGTGATATTTTCTTCGTAACTATTTAAATTGTCGATATTAAAAGCTTGTTTTCTTTCTGAGAGATAACTTTCAAACAAAGAGAGAGCAGTACCCCTAATACCAATGTCTTCAAGCTTTTTTATTAATATAGGTACAGAAACAGTATCGAAGGCCTTTTTGAGGTCTAGGAATACAGCTAGACATTTCTCCCCTTTATCAACATAAGCTGTAATATGAGTCACTAAATCTATGACTGCATTCTCCGTTGATATTCCCCGTCTGAAACCGTACTGAGAACTTGATAATATTTCATTTTTATTTAAATAGTTCAAGAGTCTAAACATATTTTCTAACATACTAAATTTGTTATAAAATATGATTCATTTTATTATCAGCTCAGTGAAGATCGTTTTTAGTTCGGATCTTAGACTAATACAAACTTTCACATTTATTATATTAGTAGGATTATCAATCCGGATTTGTTTTAAATATCTTTTCTTTACATATATGTTTATGAATCTTGTTCAAAGGGGTCAAGCGCTGCACGTATTTAACAATCCAAACTTGGAGATACTGTGGGACTGGTCAACGTTTGGCGAGCTGAACATCACCGGTGGCACTCTCTACATACATTTGAACCCGAAGCTGTGCTACTTCCAAATACTGCCGCTGAAGAAGATGACGCACAACCCGCGCTCCAACTTCACGGAAATCGAGGTGTCCGAAGACAACAACGGTGATCAAGCGTCATGTGAGTCGAAGCAATAATTTTCTAATACTATTAACTAGGGGGTGCCCGCGATTTTGAAATTGGTTTCTCATACAAACTTCCACCCCGCCTTTCTCCTCCTCTTAGAATGATATGTGGGAAAAAACCATCCTATGTCTTTTCCCTTTTCAGACTCAGAGACTGCAGTCTCTATACCAAAGGATATGTTAAATTTTTGAAAAGGGAAAAGACATAGGATGGTTTTTTCCCACATATCATTCTAAGAGGAGGAGAAAGGCGGGGTGGAAGTTTGTATGAGAAACCAATTTCAAAATCGCGGGCACCCCCTAGTTAATAGTATTAGAAAATTATTGCTTCGACTCACATGACGCTTGATCACCGTTGTTGTCTTCGGACACCTCGATTTCCGTGAAGTTGGAGCGCGGGTTGTGCGTCATCTTCTTCAGCGGCAGTATTTGGAAGTAGCACAGCTTCGGGTTCAAATGTATGTAGAGAGTGCCACCGGTGATGTTCAGCTCGCCAAACGTTGACCAGTCCCACAGTATCTCCAAGTTTGGATTGTTAAATACGTGCAGCGCTTGACCCCTTTGAACAAGATTCATAAACATATATGTAAAGAAAAGATATTTAAAACAAATCCGGATTGATAATCCTACTAATATAATAAATGTGAAAGTTTGTATTAGTCTAAGATCCGAACTAAAAACGATCTTCACCGAGCTGATAATAAAATGAATCATATTTTATAACAAATTTAGTATGTTAGAAAATATGTTTAGACTCTTGAACTATTTAAATAAAAATGAAATATTATCAAGTTCTCAGTACGGTTTCAGACGGGGAATATCAACGGAGAATGCAGTCATAGATTTAGTGACTCATATTACAGCTTATGTTGATAAAGGGGAGAAATGTCTAGCTGTATTCCTAGACCTCAAAAAGGCCTTCGATACTGTTTCTGTACCTATATTAATAAAAAAGCTTGAAGACATTGGTATTAGGGGTACTGCTCTCTCTTTGTTTGAAAGTTATCTCTCAGAAAGAAAACAAGCTTTTAATATCGACAATTTAAATAGTTACGAAGAAAATATCACATACGGAGTTCTACAAGGCAGTGTACTAGGCCCTTCACTGTTCTTAGTTTACATTAACGACCTGTGTAAGCTTCGAATTAGTGAAGTACGAATTTTCTGTTACGCGGATGATACTGCACTTGTATTTTCTGGTCATTCCTGGGAGGCAGTACAAACCGTTGCTGAACTAGCTTTGGCTGAAGTGTCAAATTGGCTTAGCACAAATCTTCTGACACTTAATACGACAAAAACAAATTATATATGTTTTACCCCAAGTCAAAGATCTCAACCGGCTGATGATTTTCAAATTAAAATTCACAGTAGCAAAAACCATCCATCCACCGAAAACTGTACCAGTATTTCAAAAGTAATCAGCACCAAATACCTTGGAATTATATTGGATCAAAGACTATCATGGCATTCACATATTGAATTGGTTATCGCCCGAGTCAGGAAACTTACCTGGATATTTAAAACATTGCGATATGTCATGTCTAGTCAACTTC